CTATCATTGCATTCAAATTTAACCTAACCTAGTCAGAGGTCCACCCCACCCCCAATGTACAGCAGAGCGATACCCACTTACACGCTTTTTTTATATACCTCTTTTCTGGAAGACAATTTTCCACCATATAGTCTAAATTATTTTTAATAAATTTGTCATCAGCCCAGTCAATAAATGAATTTGTATTATCTACTACATTATCAAAATTTCTGGATTCTTCACTTAGAACACTGATAGAATGTATTACCATTGTATATGCTTGAATCACATTCATTTCTCTGCTTTGTAAATAAAGTTATACAKGTGAAGTAGTAATAAATATTTGTAAAAAAATATGAGCAGTTAGTATTGACTATTGTTTCATATTTTAGAAGTGCATCAATAAATGCTTTAGCTTTAAATCTTGCATCTTAATTAAACTTAATTGATTATATATATATATATATATCTTTTATTATATATTTCATGAAGTGTGTGCACTATATTAACAAACAAACTTTCTTGTGGGTGTCAATATGATCCAAAAACTTTATTGAGGCAGCGATATTTTGACCACCATCGTTTATCACCGACGAGAAAGATACATTTAGCCTTACTATTATTTGTCTATACGTTCATTCTTAAATATGATTCTCTAAAATAAACAGCTATTGAATTAGTTAAACCAAATAATGTTGTACTTTGACAACACACTTGTGTGGTGTCAATCATGACTAAATTTAGAATGTGCTCATAACACCATACATGGGTTTGATCTAGATTTTGTTTATTTAAACAAGCTGAAAATCCATTGTACTGGCCTCTCATGTTACTAGCACCATCCGTCGAACTTCCGATGCAGTTCTTGACATCTAAATTTAATTCATTAAAGCCGCTTGAGCCGCTCAAGTAACATTAGTCCATATTATCATCCTAATTCCTATACTTAGATGTATATAAAACATAAATATTTTTGCCATCTTTCCATATAAAATAATGTTAACTAAGTTCACCAACATCATAGTCTATATTGTTAATTTATTAATTTATAATGTTAATATTATATAAGCTGTATTGTGATATTTAAAAATATTTAACATTATTTTATTATTATTTATTACATATATGTTAGTTACAATGTGTATGATTGTGGCTTTATTATTTTAAAAGAAAATGGATTTTCCCTATTCTGCAGATTTTCAATTTGTTGTTTTACATTCAAAAACCACGTTGTAATTTGTGGAATAATATTAAAGCATGATGTATGAAAATTCCTAAAAATCTATTTTCCATTCAAGAAGAAAGAAACATTGTAACATTCTCCAGACCTTGTTGAAGTAAGTAGGGATGGATTATCAATTAAGGTATTTCAATAGTTAAATGATGTATGTTTTAGTTTAAGACAAGAATACAATRGTGAATTAAATAAATACACAATAATATTATGTAGAATATCCAATATTTTATTAAATATTTATATTTTATTTGCTTAATTACAACAGGGTAAAACTATCATTCATAAAATTGGTGTGCTTAAACTGTGCTAGATTAAGTGATGATCACAATTCTAGACAACTAGAGCGTTTCTTTTAAAGAAATTACATAAAATAAAACTAGTCAGCCTCGTTTGATTAAAAAATATTTTTTTTAACAAAAATACTAAAATTTTAAGGACAAAGAATATCACAAATTAAATTAACTTATCTTATTAATTTTTATATATAAATTATACAGTTAACAATTAATAAGCCAAATGTAATGATAAATAAACATAACTATAGAATATTTAATTTAGGTAATCAATTGGTAAATTAAATGGTGTTTGAAAATATTCTTTTTAAACGTCTAAAGTAAAAGTTAAACTTATAATTAAAGGACTAATGTTTTTAATAATATTGGTATTATAGGTAATATGGTACTGGTAATTCAATAAAAATGTTGCCATTTAGTATTATACAATATACACTTTGACCATAGAAAAACTGATCTCCATGATATTTTGAATATTGTTATTGAATGATCAAAATTTAAATAATATTGCCTTAAGAATAACTATTATTATTAAAATCAATCATMAAATTATGAAAAAATATATAAAGTTTTAACAAAAAAACATTTAAAAAAACATTTTGAGCAGTAATTTTATTAATTAGTGAAGATAATAACATAAATAATACTAGTTAATTATTTAATTTAAACAATAAAGCTTTAAAAAAACTAATAATTACAAATGATATTACCATTTATTTAGCTGTATAAGCATCTACAGTATAAAATGTATGTAATAAAAGAAAAAATACATTTGAAAAGAGCATTAGTGAAATCAGAATTGAATCATCATTTTCCTCTCAATATTTTGGAGGTTAAAATAAAAAAAGATTAGAACTGTATGCGTTGATTGTATGATTTAACTATAATAAGATATTATATTATATAATATCATGTATTTAAGTATGTGGCTTTGGCTAAATTTGATATAGTAATTGAGTTTACATTCAATATTAACAAGTAATACTATAAGGTACTCTCTAAACTACATACATTTAAATTTCCTAGACCGAAAAATTAATTTAACCATTTAATTAAAATAATACATGAAATACGGAATGCAATATTAGGTTATAATATAGTGTATTTAATAGTTAATGGCAACAAATTTTTAAATTTTGAATATTTAAAAGATTATAAATAATAGTCTCATGGTTACTCAGTTATGTATTAGTCATTGTCTTAAAAAATAAATAAATTATATTTTACAATATTTATAATTGAGTGTTTTGTTTATGGTCATAGATTTTGATCTTATAAATCTAATAATTACATAATCAGAAATAACTCTGTTGACATAAATTGGTCAGATATTTATAAAACATTTCAAGGGTGTATACTAATTAACTATAATTAAAAAAAATATTTTAACCAATAAATGAACTACCAATATCTCCATATTAATCTCTGTACTAAATCCATTATTTTTTCTTGGATGAAAATTGAGTAAATGTTAAAAACTACTTATTTTTTAATATATTAATACAGGTAACAAAAGAAGTTATTGTTTAGAATATCAATCTCTATTTGGATACTTATATAATTCATTCATTATATATTCAGCTACCATAATGTAAACTGCTATGAACGCTCCGACAATACTTGCAATAGTTGTATTCATTCTGAAAATAATTATTGTTGCTATTCCTAGACCACCATACGTTAGATAACGAGATTGATCAGAGCTCTTCCACTTGGTGTCCACTAAAAAAAAAATTACATTTTATGATATTGTTGTTAAAATAAAAGAATTATTACAAGGTAATGAAATGAGTAATTATAATTTAAAACTAAAATTATAATATCAACTTAGAATAAACTTTAAAAATGAATGCAGTAAGATATATATTTAGAGAAGTGTTTATTTATATATTATTACAGAAAGTCTAGAGGACAATTATTAATAAAATATAAGTAAGTTAGTTCTTTTTATAAAAAAAAAACGACAGAACAGTTGTTTTAAGCATTATAATATTAATACTTAWTTTTTTTTTTAAATAACGAAACTCAATTTTTATTATTTACAATAGATATATAAAATAATTGCAAAACTCCTATATCATGGAAGTTAAGAGATAGGTAAATTTTATAAAGCCGTTGTGAGGCTAGTTCTATAGTACGGGTCCAAAATTTAATAATGTCCATAAGATAGTATAGAGAGGATAGGAAAAGAAATCAATTTAATAGGAGTAGAATAAGTGGAAAAAATGTAGACAAAACAAGGGAAAATAGTTTAAGATGATTTGTTCATTTTATGAGGAGAGGCTGTGCAAATGTAGAAAAAAAAAAGAGGGTGAGGAATACCAAAGAACAAATAAATAGGTAGAATACAGAACACAAAATTACATAAAAACTTAACCTAATCATTAATAAAATATCTAATAAAGAAAAATCAATTAACTTATTGAAGTATTTTGCCTTAAGAGTTGTATTGTACGTAGTTACTTGATGTTTAGTTAAAATAATATTGTTTAAGATATTATACTCATAAGCAGGGCTTGTAAGTTCATGTAATTGCATGTTATTTTTGCTACATCAGAAAACATGCAAGTGAGATGCAAATCCGTTTCATAAGAATGATAATTGAAATTTAAAGTTTAATAGTGCATTTTATGGCTTGTTTGGTATGTAGTTGATTTTTTGGAATCATTAGTGCGTCATTATGTCATGTAAATTCAGCAAAATAATTTTTCATGGAAGTAAAAAAAAAGTTAGATCAATTAATGCTTGAATTCATTCTTATTTATCTCGCCGAACATGTTTAGATTATCTTAATATTTTATCAGTTTATTTTTATTTTTGTATGGCACAGTATTTATAAGTTAAAAGCAATAAGAAAAAAATTTTACGCATATTTTTAGATTTTTAATACATATAAATGCATATTTCTGAACTTTTAAGGCACTACTTATTTAGTCATTTTTTAGGGCATGAACTTACGGGCCTTGCTCATAAGTTATTCAGTTGTTTTTGTCATCAATAAAATTAAGTGTAGTACTTTTATGTAAAAAAAATTTAGATAAATAATATGCATTATTATAGATAATTTATAAAAATATACTATTTAAGTAGACATGAATGAAAAAAAAAAATTGATTCAAGTTATTTCTACCACTTAATATTAAAACGAGAGTTATTTACAAGCACATTTAGGTAATACTGGTCATTAATTTAAAAATCTAAACTATTAACCATTGATCTAAAAAGAACAAGGACACAACTTACTCTGTTTTCTCTTCGACTTCATAGCCTTCACTAGCATCTACAATGGAAAAATCGTGCAAACAAATCATTACTAAAGCATTAGAGTATACATGCTCTAAACATTGAGTACCGTGATTCTTAAACATGCTAATCAACCAACTTAAAATACTCCCAAAAAACACAAAATATTAATAAAATAAAAAAATACCTATGCATTTTTTGTCTTTCATAACGTATCCTGCAGCACAATTATAGCACATATCATTTCCATCACCATAACAATCTGTACATGATGGATCACAACCTGTAAATATGTGAATTTAAATACAAGATATAAAATTAATAAGTTAATATTTTGGAGCTTACTCAAACAAGAATACGAGCCATCATTATTAACACAAAATTGTTGAGAAGTACAAACGTCTTGTTCCAAACATTCATCAACATCCACACAACCTTCACCTTCACCAATGAACACCCATCCATCTTTACATTCATCACAACCTGTAAATATATAAATTAAAAAAGTTGTAGAAATTTTGATCAAAAAATGAAACTAAGAAACTATAATTTTACTATTTTTTAAGATACATACTTAAAGAAAAATTTAGTTTTAATTTAACTGGTAACTAGTTTGAGTATTTAATTTGAATTTTAACTCCAAGAATACATATTTTATATCAAATTTATTGATTTAAGATAAAACTAATGGATAGATTATAKGCTTAAAAATTGCATTGACTATATTTGGTGTACAATCAGCTCCAAATTTCTACTAAAGTATTTTATTGATGGTGATATAGATATCACAGCTAATTAAAGTAATATTATTTTTTAATTTGTTATGTAATCACGACTGTACAGTAACACACAAAAAAAAATTAGTTTTCAATTAACATCAATACGATATAGAACACTTATCTAAATAGTATAGTCTGATATATCTGAAATTTATTCAATTTAGGTATTAGGCTAACTAATCAAGTGCCCAACACCTCAGCCCAAGTATTTTTAAATTTTTTGTTTTATCGACAATTATAAAAAAAACTGTTTGCAAAATCCTTATTTATCAATTAATTAAAATAAAAAAAGGATTAAAGTTTATTGATACTTAATAGTATAACTTGTATTACTTATGCAATATTATACAATATAATATTCAACCTAACCTTTTGGTCCTGAATCTGTACAGCTATCTTTACAAGATTTATGACATTTTTCACAAGTAAAAGTATCATTTTTCAGATTGACAAAATAATTGATTGCACAATGATCACAGTTGGTACCATCATAACCAATTTTACATTTGCATGACCCATTGCCTTTTCGAGTTCCATCGCCCTGAGATAGAATAAATTTCATTAATAATACTAATATTTATTAAATAACTAAGGCTAGTAAATAATTTATTATTACTCTGCAAGTCCCACGAGAATTACAAACATTTGGATAACCTTCACATGGTAAACAATTAGGACCATAATGTTTTGRTGGGCAACACACATTTAATTTATCAACACAAAACCATTGGTATAGGTCTTCTTGACGGCCATTTGTCCACCATTCTTTTAAATGATGTTCATATTCACTCGACAAATGAAAACACTATAAAACCAAAAATGTTTAACTAGGTAATAGATCAAAACTTTGGGGAATTATTTATTCTATACCATATCTTGGTCTTGAGATATTTCAGTACACAACGAATCATGAATTTCTACAAATCTCACTTCACTTTTTGCATAAGACAATAAATTTTTTTCTTCCCACGCTGTATTTCCACCACCAAAGTGACCATTTTTAGTTTTTTCAAGACCCTAAAAATACACATTAATTTTAAACGTCTATACATAAAATTTTGATTTATAAATACATTACTTTTTCAAACGATTGGACTAATATTTTACAACTTTTGCAAGGTGATATATCAGTAGAAACTTTTGGAACAAAATTAGAAACATCCAAACCATGTAACAATCGAAAGAATGGAAGCAATAACAGGAAGAACATTATCAATAGTATCTGAAATAATTGATTAAAAACAATAAATGTTTTTTATTATTAATATTAGCTATTAAATGTAATATTTAAAAATGAAGTAAATAATTTTCATGAATTTTTAGGTTGTACAACATTACTAAGGTCCGAATTGTATGCAYTTGCATATTTTTATTTATTAAATCAAAAAGTAGATAGATAAGACACAGATTTGAATCTTAACCTAATGTGTTGATATGCAAAATTAAATGTTTCATATTTTTGCATATTTGGAGCATTTTTAATTTTTAAGTATATTTTACCATTTTTCTAAAATATAAAGTATATTCATGAAAAAATAATATTAAGTTATTAATTCTATGTCCTATGTAAAACCTGTAAATGTGAAATGATTAAACTTTGCTAAAAGTGACGTGCATTTTTATTTGAAAATTTATCCAAGTCTTTAGTAATTAACCGTAACTTTCAAGGCAATTTTGAAATACAGTGAAACCTCCTTTAACGGACACCTCCAAATAGCGGATGGAATTTTGGAAAGGGTGAAATGTGTTCTCACTGTATTTCCCCTCTTAATAGCAGACACCTCCAAATAGCGGACGACATTTAAGCGACCGAGAGTGTCCGGTATTTAGAGGTTTCACTGTATTGTATTATAAAAATATATAAAATGTGTTATAATTTATTGATTTTTGTTCATGAGTTTTTAATAAGATGAGTAAATGTTCAAAATATAACATGCAATTGAATACATCATAAAAAATACAATTAAATTATATCTACTAGGCATTTAATACATTTTTTTTGTTTCATATTAATCATTTAATGAATTATATACAATTTTAAACTAAGTCAATTTATTTAAAATTAATTTTTGTTCACAAATTTTAAAAATATATTTGAATGAAAATCAGTACATATATGCATGCATATTTCATACATCAATTTCAAAAAAAAAAAAACATTTTGTAAATTTAAATTATTTTGAGAGAGAAAATTTAGCCAAATTGATACCCTCAAACATATTAATATTCATTATTGAAATGAGATTACTCAAAAACATAAAAATAATCATTCTACACAATTGCCTTTTGTTATGTGTGGACCAGAGAGAAGACAAACAGTGCACTTACATCCTCATAATGTCATAGGATTCTAAAACTTACAAAGTAACATTAGAGAATTGTGACAGAATATTTGAAATGTGTTGAAGATAATATGTATAATTATGAGTAGAATAGAGAGTTTCTAATGATGAGTTACTTCGGAGAGCATAAAAAGAACATCAATAATAAGGTACTCACTCTAAAAAGTCAAAATGAATAGGCAAGGGACAAAAAAGATAAAAGAGACTTAGAACCTGATGGAATGTGGAAGATAGATTTTAAAGATGAAGAAAACAACTAGAATCGATTATGTAAATGTTAAAAGACCATTTATATGATTTGTATCTACAATTAAATATGAAAGCAGACAACAGCAATAAATAAATAAAGATTAAGAGGGCGTAACACCCGTATTTGTTGTCTCAGTCTTATAAACGTTATGAGCATTTTTATTTAATTATTTATTATACGAGCATAACTCACTTAAAAACTGAATTATATTAAAAATACTTACAACAAAGCATAAATAATGTTCTTTCCGTTAAGTTTCATAATAGGTATATTCACTCTACTTTTTAAGCTAATGGAGAAAAACGTGAACTGCTGAGTGTAAATTTGCTATGTTACTCGTTTGTAAGACCGATACAATAAGTGTGGTGTCCTCTTAATAACAAAAACGAAAAAAGAGAATGATAATCTTATTTAATTGTTTAGTGTATACTGTATAGTATATTTCATTAAATATTTATAAATACGATGATGTTGCTTATTTGTATTTATTATAAAATACTGATATCATCCACTTTATACCAGGAAAATGTTTCATCTAAATCCAAATATTATAATTTTAATGCAAAAATAATGTTTCATAAGATCACAAAGAGGCTTTGTATATTTATTAATTCATTGTTTACATATTAAAATAAAAATATTAACATACTAATGGTAAAATATATCTATATACCAACTACTAGATTAATCATAAAAATTGTATATAGTCATTTACCACAATTAAAAAGTTTAAAATATTCACATTTTAAAAACAAATGTACCACAGTAAAGTTATCATATTTTAAACAGGTTATACAAATATAATTTTAAAAATAATAAAGATATTTGTACATCTAGGTACATATTTTRATACATATTTTTGAGTGCATTAAATAACTTGTGCAAATAGAGAGTTAGAGATGAAATAAGTTATCAATGATAACATTTTAAGCATTAAAAATATTGTAATGTTAAAAAATGTCATATATCTTTCAAAATGAGTTGGCATCAATAATACAAGCAGAAAGGATTAGAGTTTAGTTGAATTTATTTTCTCAAAATATTTACCTAATAGAAATAGCTATTTAAATTAGAACAAATAGGTATAAAAACTGAGCTAATAGCAATAGTAYGATATGACTGTTTAAATGTTACAAATAGAAGTCTAATATGATTATTAGTGATTTAAATATGTTTGGATATAAAGGCATTTCAGACAGCGATAAGAACCCTATCACCTTTAGATATAGACAACTTGAATGAGATACATACTAAACAATACACGGGTTAGTACTTAACAAGTTACAATTTACATCATTATCTTTCACAAACAATTAAATCGTTTTTTATTTTTTCTTCTAAATGTGAACTATTGTTTCCATACCATTGCTACTGTAGTTTGTATACCTAGAGTTAAAAAAAATTAGGGGGTAAATCTAAAGGGGGTTATAACCACTGAACTATTCTTATATACTCAATAACTTTTTACACAATCACAATTTAAAAATCATTTCTCCATCTAACCCTACATATTGGCCCTCACATGCCAATAGACAACCTGATGTTCTAGATTTCTTCATAACTTCCCTTCCATGTCATATAAATCACTCCATATCAAATCTCTCAGACTTATCTTCTGACCACACACCCTTACTCCTAATCTTAAATGAATTGTCTACTACAACGACTACTCATCATTCATTAACTCCAGGGAAAACCAACTGGGAAAAATTTAGCCAAACTATAGACRACCTCATCTTACTAAACATCCTTCTAAAAACACCTGCAGACTTGGATAATGCAGTTCAATCATTTACAAAGGTCCTTCAAAATGGAGCACGAAATTTTTCCCAAATGCTCTCTAATACTCCTAAAGTCACTAAAAAATTACCTCTTCACATAACACAACTAATTTCAGAAAAACGCAAAGCCCGTTGTAGATGGCAAAGAACGCACTTTCCTAGTGACAAAAAAAAATATAATACTCTCACTTGCTYCCTAAAAAAACAAAACACCTCCCTACGTTACCCAGATAGATCCTTAGCTTCATCAAACTTAGACAAAGCATATCTTTTTGCAACTGATCTTGAAAGTAGATTTACGCCTCATACAGACATTTTAAATTTAGAACAATCCCTTCAAGTCAAAACTTCATTAATCAACACCCTACCAATGTGTCTTCCAACAAAATATACTTCCCCTTCTGAAGTTAAAAACATTATTAGTAAATTGCGAAATAATAAATCACCTGGCCATGACCTGATCACCAATACCATTATGAAGAAACTGCCGAAAAAAGCAATCCTACTACTTACGTATATATATATATAATGGCATACTAAGCCTATCATACATCCCTTCCACATGGAAGCACTCAGTCATCATTCTTATTCATAAACTGGGCAAGCCACCCGATATCCCGTCTTCCTACAGACCCATCAGTATTCTCCCAACGTCCTCTAAAATCCTGAAAAAAATTATCCTAAAAAGAATTTATCCAATTGTAAATGGAAAAAATATTATTCCTAACGCTCAATTCGGTTTTAGAAGCAATCACTCTTCGCTCCATCAAATCCACAGAATAGCTGACAACATTGCCTCTTCCCTTGAGCAAAAAAACTTTTGTTCAGGGGTATTCCTCAACGTTGCGCAGGCGTTTGATCGTGTCCGGCACGAAGGCCTTCTTTATAAACTTCTCTTTCTACCCACTCCATTATACCTCACCTTAAAATCTTTCCTCACAAACCGCTCCTTCGTAGTACGATGTAAGGAAGAGTATTCTAATACTCATCCTATAAGAGCAGGCTTCCCTCAAGGCAGCATTCTCGCACCTACATTCTTCAATATATATATAGCTGATCTACCTCAATCAAATAACACCAACTTAGCTACTTTTGCAGACGATACTGCAATAACCTCATCCAGTCCTAACTTAGACTGTGCCATAAATAACCTCCAAGACCACCTAACTAACTTACAAAACTGGTTCAACTTATGGACAATAAAATAAATGAAAGCAAATTCACTCATATTACCTTTACTCAGAGCCAAAAAATATTCCCCCCGTTTATCTCAATAACAAAATAATCCCTATRGGCACATCAGTCAAATACCTCGGTTTCCATCTAGATAAAAGACTGACCTGGGCAACGCATATAAAATTTAAACGAAAATCCTTAAATCTCCGTCTGCACAAGCTAAGACAACTACTCGCTCTAAAATCTCACTTGAAAACAAAACGTTAATTTATAAACAATTGATACGCCCGGCAATGACGTATGGAATCCAATTATGGGGCTCTACAAAAATCTCTAACCTGAAAATATTCCAAGCTTTCCAATCCATAAACCTTTGTCTCCTCACAAACGCTCCATGGTATRTAAGTAACAGATCCCTACATCATGATCTCAACGTTCCAACGATATCTGCACTAGCTTTGCATAACTATAATAACTTTCACAAAAATGTCCTAAATCATCCTAATCCCCTAGTCGCCAAGCTAGCATCTAAAACACTACCTGACAACCCTCCCCGTCGTCTCAAACGAAAATGGCCACATGATTTTCTAACCAATTAACCGAAATTATATATTATAAATACATTTATTTTATACAATTAAATTAAATTTAAATTAAGTTCATATTGGAAGTAGTGTCAATGGACTCTCCCTTCCCTCAAGCCGTCCAGTCTGGTAAAAATTGTTATCCAAATTACTTATTGTATTTATGTTATACATATTGTATATTTTTTCTTTTTTCTACTTTAATAAAAGAAAAAAAACACTAACATCRTCAAGACATAATAATAGTATCTATACTTAATTAAAACACTTGAACAGTTTTATTTTTTTAAAGGCTGTATTATATTGTTTCTATATCTATCAATACCAATGTGTACACTTTACCTATGTAAAAATAAAAATAATAATAGTGAACAAGTGTAGTACCTACACTAGTACTCACCCACTAAATTATGAGAAAATCCTGAAATTGTCCTGAACGAGATGATGGGAAAACAACGGTTGGGGGTGTGAATTTGACYTTAGAATAGCAATACCTATTTAAAACTTTAGATCGGAACTTATAAAGTACATAGTGATTTTCGATTCAGGCACAAAACCCTAWCTACTAATCCGATTCGGCGTTGCGCGAATCTTTACGTGGCCCAACCAGACCGGTAGTGATAACGCGCTAGTGAAAACCGTGAACGCGATGAGAAGGGAAAGCCGAAAAACCGTATTGAAACTCTATCCTCAGAGCAGGCTGTCGCCAGCCGAGTTCAGTATTATCGATCTGATTGTTTAATAACTGTAAAATATCGATAACTCGAATCTATTCGATAGTAGTTTTACCTATTCAGTTATTAGTATATAACATATTAGTTACTTATAATTATTATATGTATTACTTATTAGRACGTAGTTGGGCACATCTAGTCAGATAGTCTACTAGGCTAAAACTTTGAACTGTTTGGTATTACGATTACCATTCCTAATAAAATTAAACTCAATGTTCATTTCACTATTCGATAGTACTAAATTGTTCGATAAAAATGTTTTTCGTAAAACAAAAACAACTACTTGATAACATTGGTTAATGTGTTTGAGTGATAAGTAATAATAATGATTATTATCATTCAGCCACGTCTCGTTCAGTGGTGACCAAACGYTTATTCGGGTCTTCGGGAAGCTTAATTTTTTCTGAGTTTATGTATTGACTTGACCAATGTTCTTAAAGGGCCTTAGCCTTACCGTTACCATAGCGGAGTTGTAGCCTCGCGCGTGTCTGCATTAATGTTAAGTTTATTATTTTATAACGCCACTCGAATCTCGAATTCTCGGCTGTCAATTACGGATTGGGATCACTTAGTCCGTCATGTCCATGTGYGTGAGTGTGTTTGTGTGTGTTTTATGCGAGAATGAAAAATGTATAAAAATGTATAATTAGTAATATTTTTCGTTTTGCAGTAAGAAGGGGGGAGGGTCAGTGGTTGGTTGAGTGGAGTAATATTATATTATTATTATTAATAAAGTTATTTTCACAGGATACACATAACGCACTTATTTTGGAAAATATTTCTTCTCTTAGCGATTTTGTTTATTTCTTGCTGTTTGATAGGTTATCCATGGGGKTTCATACGAGTCGATGATTTAATAATATTAATGTTTTATGATCGTATTGTATCGTGTAGTTGAACCAAAAAAAAACCCCCAAACAATAGGGCAATTATCATCTTCCGCCCAACAATTAGCTCAACACACAAATCTGAAAAATTTGAATAGTTATTCATCAATTGGCAACGCTCTGTTAAAGTCTCTTTTATTTTTAATTTTCATTATTGTAACTTGYTGTACAAAAACAATATTGCAATTTMAAAAATTGCAAAAGGGCAAYTATCATCTTCCGCCCAACAATTAGCTCAACACACAAATCTGAACAATTTGAATAGTTATTCATCAATTGGCAACGCTCTGTCAAAATCTCTTTTATYTTTAATTTTCATTATTGTAACTTGTTGTAMAAAAACAATATTGCAATTTCAAAARAAAATYGTTGATATGTCTATTAACAGCAAAGAAACTTCATTCACATCATCAGATGTCAGTAATGAGGTGAGAATTAAACTTTTTTCATTCTATAGTTKTAGCAAAGYATACCATYAAACATTTTTTTTTTCTAGAAAATTACTGCTGAAAAAATGCCTTATAAGAGCTACAGACCTAGGTCTGTCTCTACATGTTCAACAGATTCATGTAGTTCTGGTAAGTATTTTCTATGMCATAATCTTTTTTCCATATTTGATGTACCTATTACTTTTATGAAACTTTATTTTCTTACCATGCTTTTATAAACAACTGAATTTGTAACTTTTATTWTTACAATTCATCAAAATATTTACTATAATTAGTATTAATATAAAACATACTTGATCTATAAATTACCTCCATGTAGTAAATATGTGTTATAGTAGTAATAATAGGTAGCAATAAATACATAAATGACCTAGATAATTAAGCAGTAGGTTCTTACAGATAAATTACAAAAATAATGTTGGGTGTGGTAAATAATGTATACATATATGTATAGAACTTAACTACTTATTAAAAATTATCCATAACAAATTTGTTATCTTTATGAAAATTGCGTATAATACTAAATTTAAGAACTGTCATTATTTTACTAACAATAATAAAAGCAAAAAATTGAAACCATTTAACTTTGAAAAGATATCAGCACGTTTTATTTTTGACCCAAACAAAACATAGCAAATTTAAGTTCAATAAATTTTAGAATTAATCAAGAATCAATTGAAAACTAATTTTAAGTTAACTTGAATCGACTTATCATCAAACTTAAGTTAAAAACATTATATATTGTATTATTACAATATCTTTTTACAATTAATGAGTTTTTTGCAAAATATAAATGTTAAGTATTACAATTTAAATATGGTAAAAATGCCAATGTACACATATTTGTTTTTAACTTTAAGTCAATTCAGTTGAATATTAAAGCTAATTACACAAAATTGGTTTTGCTAAATCCAAATTTCTTATGGTGTCCTATATTTATGCTTTTGATACTGAGAAAAAATTTGTGTGCAGCACACCGTATGCTGACATTCTCTTAAAATAAAACAACATTATTCCTCCATCATGAATTTATTACATTTTCTGTTCTGTTTGAATAATGTCTATACTGTCAGTACTATTTATATCATTTGTACACAGTTATACAATAAATTGTTACAGTTACTACCTATTTTATTTTTAAATTAATGAATCATTGATATCTTAGTATTTATTTATTTWAATGAAGCAAAGTTATTTAAAATTATTTGTTATTGTTTTATTATCATTAAAATATACTTCTTTCGATTAGTCCTGTTTACCTAATTTATCTAAAACTTACTATTTTGTCATATAGTAGATATTTTAGATATGAGGGTACCTACTGTAGGGTACTTCACAGAATTTTCAGGCATTTGCTTAACTAARATATAAAAATAAATAGTTAAACATTGCATTATGTAGGTATTTTAATTTGCATCTATTTGTTAAATTTAAATATGGAAAGGATGGTAGGGGCCCTTTGATGTACAATATCATAATATATTTCAAATACTTTGGCACCACGCTTCTTAAAATATGCATAACCTAATTATTTTGTTAAATACATTATATATTTTTACAGCTAGTTTATCTGAAGATGATACTCCAGTTAGGTTGAAAAAACAACAAAATAGTTCTGGATTTAGTGATTTTTGCATTAAAGATATAAGGCTCAAAGACTTTGGAAAGCGTGAAATTGAATTTGCCGAACAAGGTAATGAACAACATACTTATATTATATTAGCTAAGGTAATTAAAAACATTTCTAATTTTCATTAATTTATATAATCAAATTTTCCATTTACAGAATCTTTGTTAATCATCACTTATGTTACATACCTGATACCAGTGGACATTATAGCTTAATATCTGTCCTAAATTATTAAATAACACATTTTTACATTATGCATCATTAATAAACCATTAATGTTTTATATTTATGCTGACAAAAGAACCATTTATCATTTTAATATCTTCTCTTTTATTTCATGGAAAAAATTGGCTTTAAGTCTTTGTCCAATTATTCTTCCTTCATGTATATTATTAATAGAGTTAGGATGTTTGTGCACTAAAAAACGTATGAATATATATGCACATATGCACTAAAAAACAACTATAGGTAATGTATGTAAATTTGAAAAATATGCATTAAAAAAAAAATGCAGAAAAAAACTGCATTAAATTTATAGAGACAAATTTAATTATTAATAGAATATAAATGAATTGGTTAAATATTGGTCTTTTTGTGTACTTAATTGAATATGTTTAGTGGTGTTCATATGCTGTTCAACAGTAAATTGACATTTGCTACTAACTTTAACTTTGCATAATTTGTAATAAAGAATTGAACCATCGGTAGATAAAATGTGCTATCCAAATTCTTGTACAAAACCTCTTAGTTTAAGTTTTTTACTTAAATCATAATTGAAGAGCAATTAAAACAAAAATAAACAAATTATTTTTGTGGGATCTATTAAATTAAATAGGTACACGTCAAAACACGAAACGCACAGTATAGGTACTCTACATCTGGCGTAGACTAGATGGCAACTAACAACAAATTATTTAACATATTGKTTTATAATGTTTTATGAGGACGCTACTCAACCATTTCCTGTCTCCATCTTACTAGTGCATAACATTGCAATTTTACGCTCAGCAGATCACGTTTAGCTCTGTTAGTTAAAAAATTAGAGTGAATCGACCTATTATAAAACTTTATGTTAAGAATATTATCTGTGTTTGTATGTGGTTTTTTTATGATACTTAAATTTTGTAGCAAGTTATACATATATAAAAAGTGTAAATTAAAAATGCTCATAATTCACTTAAAAATTAAGTTATCATAAAAAAACCCACATACAAACACAAATAATGTTCTTACCATCAAGTTTCATAATAGGTCAATTTACTCAATTTACTCTAATTTTTAAACTAACGGAATTAAAAGTGATCTGCTAATTGTAAATTTGTTACGTTACACACTTGTAAAACAAACACAACAAATATGTATGTAGCGTCCTCCTAAGATAAGTTTTGATTGTGAATATTGAAGAGGGTTATCGAAAATTATWATTATAAATTTACCTTTACTCCATCTATATTGAATTATCAACAGTAAATTAATGATGATTTGTTAAATACAGATACTTAATCAAACTTACATTATRTTCCGTTAATACAATATAATATTATGGTATCTATCAGCTTATTGTATCGAAACCCATAAAATATGCACATAAAAACAAAAAATAATACAAATTATGCACTTACAAATAAAAAATGGCAAAATATGTAATTATATTCAAAATAAAATTTTGATATGTTAAATATAGATATCATAAAACACATTTCTATATAAATTAAAAGCTATTGGACAACCTAAAAAAAATGTCCAAAATCATAAACATTCTAGCCCTAGTTTTTAAGAAAATCATTGTAGCGGTTAAGATGTCCAATTAATTTGATTTTCCTTTCCATTATGTTAATAATTAGACTTCTTTTATCTTTTATTTCTTTTAGAACTCTTGTTTAATTTCTATTGTATGCAATTGGTCTTCCTCCATACTACATATCCATTCCTTGCAGATAGCTTTTATCATTCTGTGCCATTGTCCATGTCTTATATCCATAAGATAAAACACTCCATACTAAAGTTTTAATAAACTTATTACAAATCTCATGTTTGAGGTGTCTATTACTAAGTATTTCTATAGTTCTTATGGAAAGCTTGCATGGCTCTTTATGTCAGCTGTTTGGTATCTATTTGTAATTAAACTTCCCAGATAACAAAATTCATAACTTGTTGTACAGGACTGTCTCTTAGATTGATACTTACTTCATTTTTGTTATTGATCTTACTTATCAACATTGTTTTTGTCTTTTGTCTATTGATCTTCAGTTGGCACTTATCAAATATATCTTCCTAAGTGTTGAGCATCTTATTCATATCATTTTGAGACTTAGCTAGTTGTAAAATGTCATTTGCAAAACGTATGCAATGAATCCTCTGTCTGTTGATCCCTATTCCTCCTGTCTTGCTTTTCAGTTCCTTTATTTGATGCTTCAGTTATTATATTAATATTGTATCCTTTTCTAATTTTTACTTGTTTTAATTGTTCCATTAATATTAATATGTTATTATAATAGATGGTTTTGTTTTTTAATTAAAATACACTAATAGACCTCAGTGAGGCACTATTTTATCAAGCCTAAAGTAATTTTTATAAAATTATATGTTTACCAATTACTAAAAACTAGCCATCTTATTCTTTTACTTATTTATAGTTGATGTGTACRTTGTATGCATTTCAGTAGATAAKTAAATTAACTATTAAAATTGACTGCTGAAATATAATGTATATCAGTATTATATTGAGTTTTTTTTAGAATTTATTGCATTAGTCATATACTGTTATTTAAAATGTTTATTTAGAAATGCCTGGTTTAATGTCTCTAAGGAAACAGGTGATGGAAGATAAGCCATTACGGGGAGCCAAAATTATTGGATGTACACCTATCACTGCACCAACTGCTGTTAGTCGATAAAATATTTTATTTTACAATTATCAATSATTAAACATTTTCTATACTATTTTATAGGTATTAATTGAAACATTGGGTTCTCTAGGCGCTGAATTGAGATGGAGTGCTTGCAATATTTATTCAACACAGGTATTTATAAAAATGTTGTTTTTATGTACGTTCTTCAATACCACACACATTTAATTGATAGTTAAAAATTAAAAATTCATTCACTATTATTATTTCCAGCGCATCCGAGTTGGGTCCAGATTTTTAAAGTTAGTACCAACTAGTATCCTACAAAAATCCGGGACCCAACTAGTGTAGAACCTAAAATAATTCGGGACCCAACTAGTGTAGCAATTTTAAATTTGGGACCCAACTCGGATGCAGCCATTATTTCAACATTAATTCATAATTATCTAAAATATAGATAATAAGATAAGATAAAATATGTATATTACTAAGATTGGAATAAATTTACATCATTTTGTTTTGAAATATTCAATTAAATTTATTTTATTGTTAATTAAACAACCTTTTAAATTTAAAATGCATAAAAATAGTTGTGATTTGCATTTAACAGGTAAAATTTATTTTAAATTCATTAAAAATGTCCTTGTTTTTGTGGTTTATGTTCACTTTTATTTTGCGTGGATTTGATTAAATATGATTACAGTACTCTTACATACTCTTTTATAAAGAAAAACTTTCCAGGATCAAAAAATAACCTACTTGTGTTAAAAAAATGTATGTTAATTGGTACAAATGTTTTCTTATTATCAGAGAAATTTAAATTCAATACATTRTTTCACGCTCTAATATATCTTTTCTTTTATTATTTATGTAATCTTCAAAAATAAATTTTACATTACTTTTGTATATATTACATATAATGAAATTTAAATATTTTGTTTCATTCAAATGTACATAAATTAATTTAAAACTCATGTCGGTTTGAAAAAGTCTATGACAGCTAAAAATTAATTCCATCTTTGTACATTATCAATAGGTATTTCAGGTGTTTAAGTGGCTTTGTTTTCAATGTTCCATGCTCTTATAAAACAGTTACTGATAGTTGTTGCTGTTTTAGCCTGTTTATTACATTTTTCTGTTGGTATGTGTCTAAAATTTGTTCGAGTTTTGTGTTATTCGAGTAATTTGTWAAAATCGAGGAAATAAAAAAACTTACTTTTTAGTATAGGACCTTTTTCAAGACTGCAAAATCGATTCWCATTATCCAATAATTTAACTGAGTTCTTATTAATGAAGGAGTACTGTAACACTGGTGTTTCTAAATGTTAATGCAATTTCAGATAAATATGTGTTTATTAATACTTATAATGTGTTGTATGTGTGGTATTGAACAGTTTAATTTTGGGAATACTATGCAGAGAATTATAATTGATGTATAGATCGCAAAAATTACCTTTTTTTAAAGTGTACAGCTATTACGGCAACTGGTTTTAATTATTAATTTTTATTCCTTACATAATTCTTATAAACGATTACAAATTATGGATGTTTTAAACAATTATTTATTTTTTAGAATGAAGTTGCTGCTGCTTTAGCGGAAGCAGGTAATAATGGGCATCACAAGTTATATTACTGATATGAGAAAAATAAGGCACATGAGATACTATGCTGGAGTGTGAACCCTATACAATCTTGTATCTGTTTGGTGAATGTATGGATTTTTTGACGAAGTGTTGTTGCATATTTAAAAAAAATCTATATGTTACCTAAGGATTTGATACTGGTGTGAATTAAACCATTTATAAGACTTTTCCAATCACCCGTGTAATTTGTTCTTCATTACTTCATTTTTAAAACTTTCTCCTAAATTTGTCCACATTAATGAACCTCCCATAATMCATTTTCTACAATATTCTAAATTTGTATCATATATTTACTTTATAACCTTTTGGTATCAGTCTTATCCTGGGTTAAATGTTAAGATAATTCAGCTTTAATGCTTTATATTCACTTGGACTGTCATCCGACATATGCAAAATGGAAGCTTMATTTGTTGATTGAAATATTAACTATAAATTATGTATTGAACAAATTTATGCATATGTACTATGTGTTAAAAYTCTTTATTGAATGAGATGGAATTATACAAATTATTAAGAACACTAGCCAACAATATTTCTCCTTTGAAGTAATGATTAAGTGGGGATGAATGCATAATTACTATAGATACATTTCTATCACCTGATAAAATTTGATGAAAAATAATAATTTTGTGAAGATATACTTATATGATAAATTTAATCAAATTATTTAATGTTAAATATTTATTTTAACTTTTGCATGAGGGAGCCGTTAGGATTACTTTATCTTCTAATATAATTTTCTCTCAGCATTGCTCTCCATATTCCCGGTTCCCACATGAGGTTTCAGTAGGCACAGTATTCTTGTTGTTTGAGAGAAAGTCAATGATAATAATAATTAATATTTACTACATGCAATTATGTAAATGAATGGCAATTTCCAACTATATCATGATAAATTTATATTATTATTATAACCAACTTTAGTGAATACTACATGACTACAGCAGTACAGCTAATAGTCAATTGTACATTAAGTTAATATAACTTATCTGTCTATGTTTAAATTGATTGCCAAGGAGATTTTATTCTACAAACTGTCATACAATTGATTGATTATAAGGAACTAAAAGCTAAGTACTAAGTAGCACGCTGAACTCCCATTTGTATTTACAATCTGGGCCCTGACTACTTCTTGTAAATCTCCTTTCTTAAATTTAACTWTTATTATAATATACAACTCTTTCTTAATGTTAATAATTATTTATAAATATATACTAGCTCCTAATAAATTTTTCACTTTGGACCAGACCAAAAATCACCAGCCCTGCGTAGATTATTGTACAAAACTTTTAAAAAAATACTCACTATTTTAAATACATCRGAACTAATTTTATATGTATTAACCAAACGCACAAATGCTAGGACATCTTAAACTTATTTTTATGTATAATGTGCTTTTAATGTCTAAATKAATAGACTCCTTGTAAAAAAAATCCATAACTACTTAATTAACTATTATTGTTTTTAATTGTATTGCTTAGCATGTAATTTTATTTGAATTATGTGGTAACTGGTAATTACTGTAGTCTTTATAGTTGTAGCATTTGAACAATTATAATTTTATAATTATTTAAATCAAGCTATCTAAATAAATCTATGTATTTTTAAAGAGTGAAAGAGTGTGTTACCTTGCCACCGATTGTGGGTATTAGTGGTTCCTTCTTATATATAACTGAATATAAAAATATATATTTTTTGTAAATTTCTGTACTTTGTACAAAGGTTTACGGTCATTATTTTGTAACATATTTATTTGTT